CTGGCATGTCCTTGTTCAGCTGCTTTTTTATACCATTCAACTGCTTTTTGTTCATCTTTTTCTACTCCAGTTCCATTATAATACCTATTAGCAAGACTATATTGAGCACTGACATCTCCTTGTTCAGCTGCTTTTTTATACCATTCAACTGCTTTTTGTTCATCTTTTTCTACTCCAGTTCCATTTGTATAACACAGAGCAAGATTATATTGTGCACTGGCAACTCCTTGTTCAGCTGCTTTTTTATACCATTCAACTGCTTTTTGTTCATCTTTTTCTACTCCAGTTCCGTTGTAATACCTATTAGCAAGATTAAATTGAGCATTTACATTGGAATGTCCTTGTTTAGCTGCTTTTTGTTCATCCATTAGCAAGATTATATTGAGCTCTGTGATATAACTCACGTTTGATCCCTTTTTTTCATTCCAGCGCGGAAAACTTCGGAGTCTATGGAACGTGACGAGAAGGAGGAAGAGAGAGAGGAGCACTTAAATGGTGGAGAGAACGGCGCTAATAAAAGTAATGGTGGGGAAAGCCTGATAAGCGAGACCAGAATCAACAAGACCAAGTATAAGTGTACGAGTATTGTAGTTATATATTAATATAGTAAAAAACGGTTTTTCAGGGTTGCAATAGTGTTACCCAATATACGCGGTTGTATAGCAAGTGTTGAATACAGTAAAGTTTTGGAACAATATTAATATTAATATTATAATTAGTGTGAATATCGATACAAGAATTTCGCAAGGAAAAATGCGCAGTATCCGAAATCACAACCGCACAATCAAATTTCGCAGGTCATATGACTGTTATTGTGACACAACTATATTCTGACAAACGAACAATAATAATAATTATTTTCACATGCAAACTTTGCATTTCTCTATATGAACAAAGTTTAAACACACTTCCTAACGGTAGCATTATTTTTATTCTGACCACCAGCGTCATCACAAGTAATCTTTAAATACTTTTCACCCTTATTCAATCGCTTAATTCCATCGAATACCATGCTTAGTGTGCCATTAGGACTTTTGCCAATAATTTCGTCTTCATCAAGAACGTAATTAATTTGTTCGCGTACTGCTTCATCTTGAATACCAAATAAATGCACTTTATGTGGACGGATAATAAATCTTACTTCATACTTACCTGTTGATCTGAATGGGGTACATGAACATTTTGTGCTCAATCATAACTGTAATGAGCAGTAGTAGCATCAACGCTACAATAATCAGCTTTACCGCCTGTTACAGCATATACGCTAATTTCGTATTTTTGTTGTAACAGTTTCTCTCTAATTTAGCATTAACTAAATGTTCTTTGAATTTCTTTAGTAAGTCTCTTGCATCTTCTTCCTTACGAGAATTATACTGTAAACCATTCCGAAAATGTTGACAAGTATCACATAAATCCGTTCTTGGACTCATAATTTGAATATAATAATAAGGCGTTAATTGGTGCCATAACTTGCGGAATGCATCATATTTTAACAGTTTCAATTTTCGAGACCTGCAATAAAATCACGATAGACCGATTTATCGGCTGGCAATAGTGTAAGCGATCGGTTGACATTTCTACCAGGACTTGGTAGTCCATGAATTTTAGCATAATTTTCGAGAAAATTCTTCGCGGCGGTAGCAACGGTTATATCAATGGTTATCTTGGTTTTCCATCGTGGCATTCGTTTCATGTTACCATAAACGCGCGGTATTATACCATTCGCCGCCAGATGATTTCTAACGTTTTGAAGTGAGTGCGACCAATTCCTAACATGCTAAGATACGTTTCCGACAAAGAGGCGTATTGCGATCTCAATAGTAAAACGTTCGCTTATTAGTACGCGTCTTCTTTTTAAGACGTCGGCAGTTATTTCATTGCTTTCAGCTAGGTCATTAAAAATATATCTTGCTCAGACCTAAAGAGAGCTTGAAACGCCTCACGTAATTCGGCAAACTTTTCTCTTGGAATCTTTTTTGAACAAACACAATTGCAACCTGAAACGTATTGCTTTTTCATATTTGGTGGAACCGTTACAATTAGAATTTTCCATATACGGGTGATCCTATGTATAAATTTTACATTTGTTTTATTTAGCATAACAATAGTTACTTGTCCTTCCATAATCCTATATCAATCAATCAATCAATGCGCAATGTGCTAATGCCCTTGAACAAAAATTTTTGTCATGTCAAGTAATAACGTCCGCACTTCTGGTAGCATGCAATACGTCTGAAAATAATATATTGGTTTTATATACCCGTGATGGAATCAATAACAAATAAATTAAAGGATAATAATAAGCGCAATAGTTTAAGCAGTAACCAGAGCGACCAATCAGAATTGCTTGGCAACACGTGGTTAGTTGGAAATATAAAAGATTTTCTACGCGCCATACTCGCTCAACGAAGTTCATGGTCAGAGACGAAATACACGAATATTTCGAGAGGATGGAGTATTGTAGACTTTTTGGAGGAATGTGATCGGAGTTTATTTTCGTTTAGAGACAAGATAGGGAAATACATATCGTCCCTCGAGATGAACCGATCGAAGACATGAGCGAGCACAGCAGCTGCTTGATAATTATATGCAGGCGAGTATAATGATTATAATAAGAGTATATGAAAAGAATTTGGTGGCGTGACAAAGGACCTTCCAAGCTCCTCGTGTCATTAAAGTCTTCTAAGCCGAGCCACGAAGCCAGTGTTGGACTCAGACGACCTTCTAAGCTTGTCTGACGTCAAGCCTTCTAAGCCGACCGACACTGACACCCGCAGGGCACGGATGACCTTCAAAGCTCGTCCGATGTTCAAGCCTTCTAAGCCGACCTGCGGGAATCAAGAAATCTGGGTACAGTCGTCCCCCTCTATAGTCATGCATGCAACCTTTGTTGGAAGTGTGCTTATAAAGAGGTTGTGACTATATAGAGGGGGTGACTGTAGAGGGGGACGACTGTACATTATCTGCCACGAGTTAATATTACTGGTTCTGGGAATCTGAGAAACTATTATAAATTATAGGGTGCTCGGCCAGATATGCAACTAGCAAAAAAATGGGAGGAGCATGCAGCCAAAGTGAGTGCACCCTCAGTTCACTTGCATAAACCGACGAATGTGACAATATTTTCGGGGAACTCTCTAATTTAAAACTGCCGTCAGTGGGGAAAGCCCAAGGTGACAAAGAGACAGCAAAACTCGTAAGTCATTATTCATGCCCCTACAACGCCAATTATACAAATCAAATATATTCTGAAGAGGTAACCACTTAAGTCGGTTCGTGATACCCTTGTTTCTATCTTCCAGAACCCCATCAAGCGCAAACAAGATGGAGCCAACTGAAGATGACACTTTTAAGGAAGATTTTCACAGGAGAAAGAGACTATAGATTCTTCCCTGCGCATGCTGGTGACATAGTAGATATTCATCTATCCAATAATGGAGAGTTATTCACTTCGTCGACTGATACGACCATAAAACGATGGTTTCTTAATGGACAAGAGACCTCTCAGA